CGTTTCTATAGTTTTCTAACTACTATTATTATAGACTAGAGTTCTAACTAGTTAAGTAGCTTTTAGAAGACCCTCTACTAGCTTGTAGGTATTAACTAGCTTCTATCTACTACGCATTACCTCTAGACTAATAGTAGAATAAAGCGCGTAAACTAGAAAGTTTAGATAGTACTTTGCATAATAGTAAACTTTAAGTAGACTAACTAGCCTACTTATCTCTCTACGTATTAATTAGCGCTAAATAATAAGAACTTCTTAGTTATAGATGTAAGCCTAAACCTACTTCTAAATAGCTATATAGTAGACTTATTATAAAAGACACTAATTTCTAGTAAGGTAGATACTTCTCTAAGTAGCTTAGCTATAAAGTTCTTAAAACACCTACGTAGTAAAGCTAAGTTAGTGCAGGTAGCTATTATATTTTAGTAGTAGCGCTAGTAGAAAGTAACTAATTATAGCTAACGTTCTATAGAATGTTTCTAACCTAGTAATAAGATTTAGTTCTTAATACGTAATATTAAGATAAATAGACTAAGTAGTAAACTTAACTAGCTGTAGGTTAAGTATATAGTAGTTACTATACTTATACTACTTATAGTTATATTAGATCTCTCTAGTAACCTTTATAAAACTGTCTATATAGATTTAGTAGAAAAGGCTGCTAAAGACCTGCTTCTTAGCTAGGTACAGGCTAATACCTAGCTAGAGCCTGCCTTAGAATTAGAAAAGACTAACTTAGCGCTGTAGAAATTTAAAGTAAAGAAAATTCTATAAGCTAAAGGCGCGTAAAGTTATAGTAAATGTTAAGTACTAGTAAAATAGGTTAGCTACGCTAACCTATTATAGCACTCTCTAGAAGATTTTCTAGATATAGCAGCGCTAGTATAGTTTAAAGCAAAGTATAAGAATATATAATATTATAATAGCGTAACGTAAGTTTAAAGAGAAAAGCTTTCTTTATTACTAGCACTATAAGAGCGCTAGACTTTGCCTATAATAGAGAATAAAGAAGTAAACTAAAGTTTACACTAGAAACTAGCACAAGAACAAAATAGTACTAGACTAAATTCTAGAGTTATAATCTAAGATCGCGCTATATTCTATAAGTAAGAACCTTATAGCTCTACCTACTAAGAATCTAGCTCTAACTAAGTCTTCTAATACTACTATAATAAGCCTAGCTAGTTACGTTAGCAGCGCCTCTCTAAAAGAGACAGTAAATAAAACCTAGACTTAGAGTAACTATAATAGCTACTACGCGCGCTATTATAAAAGTAGCGTATAGAAGAACTAGAATAGCTATAGTAATATTTATAGTAACTTTAGCGCAAGCTATAGTGCCTACTAGAACTACTACTACTATAGTAGTCTTAGAAATAGTTATAGTATAGTAGAGTGCGTAAGTAAAAGTAGTAACGTAAAGAGCGTAAATAGTAATAGCTATAAGACCTAAATAAGAATAGAGAGGCAGCCTCTAGAAGGCGCTACTAGCTAGTAGTACTAGTAGTCTAGTAAAGTTTAAGTTAGTAAGTAAAGCTAGAAGTTTACTATAATAGTACTTACTACAATATTAGAAAGGTTAGTAATAGCATTACTCTAGGCCTACTAAACTACTAACATTTACGCTATTATCTTACTTATATTACGCGTAATAGTATTAACTAAGGCTACAGCATTACTACTATAACTGTAAGAAGGTATTAATAAGGCTAGCTAGACTTCTATACTACTACTACTCTAGTTATTATAACGCTTAGTAGCGCAAAGAGGTACTAGAGTTATAATAAGACTTTAGGCCTAAACTATCTTAAAAAGCTTAAAGAACGCTCTAGCTAAGTAGTTAAAGGCAGACGTAAAGATAGCCTTCTAGCCTCTTCTTAGCTCTACGCTAGCGCTAATTATACTAGCTATAATAATGTAAGAGTTATTATTATTAATACTATAATACACTAGTTTAAACTAGTAATAGAGAAGAACTTAAAGCTCTTTATTAGTAGTAAGAAGGTTATTAATACGCTTACAGTGTAGCTTCTTACGCAAGTAGGTTTAATAAGTAATCTCTAAATAGTGTATTAGTAGTACTATAATAGTAAACTTCTAGACCTAAAACTTACTTCTACTATATAGGCAGCGCTAAATAGTTCTATAATTCTTAGTAAACTTAATATAAGAGAGACACAGTATATTAAGGTCTATCTCTACTAGAATAAGATTCTTCTTATTACTATTACTGTCTACTTTAAACCTATTAATAGCCTGTCTCTTACGCACAATTCTGCTATTAGCTCTATAGCCTAGTATAGAGTTACTAAGAGAATTACCTAGAGAGCGCCTAAAAGGCTGCCTGCCTAAGGCTAAGCTATAGCTACTATTAAGTGCTGTTAGGTACGCTATAGTAATAGTATAGCGCTAATATAGAGTGTAATTAGAGTAGTAAAAGTATAGGTAAAGTAGCGTAGTAGAGATTGCGTAGGTGCGTTGCAGTAACGTGTATATAGCAGCGTGTTATTATATATAGCCTAGAAAGATTTCTATATAGGCCTGCTTAGCTAATAGTATCTTAGTAATATAAGCGCGCTAGCTATACGCTCTACTACTATAACCTATGCGTATAACTACTATAGCGCGCGCGCTATAAGTTATAGAGTTTTCTAGCACTAGCTATAGTAGTGTTATTACGTACCTATTCTGCTCTTAAGGTATTTACGTAGAGAACTTATTATAAAGGCTATTTTTTATATTCTATTATTACTGCTTTTAAGCTATAAAAGTTGCGTAGTACTTTACCTTTGCTATTATAGTTAAGAATACTTAGCTTTATTTTTAAGTATTAGTTCTATATAGAGTATTTTTTAGCTTATAATAGAAAATTATATAAAATTTTATAGGTACTGTAGAAGGTATATAATAGGCTTAGGCTTTGCCTAAGTCTTAGCTTAGTATATAAAGTAAGGCTTACTATAAGCTCTCTCTCTAAGAAATATAATATCTTTACTAACACTTGTTGCAGCTATACTTTAAGGCTAGTCTATAACACTTACTAACTATTAAGCTTAGTATTAATATTAGAGCTAAAATCTCTATAATATTATTAATATACTTATTTATAAGCTTAGTAGAAGGTAAAAGAATATACTTATATTTTCTAATAGTAATAAGAATATAATAGAAGTAGTGTATAATATTCTAAGAGATAACTATATAGAATTTAGTATTAGAGTAAAGTTATAATACTAAAAGCGCTTAGTCTTAGAAGTAGTTATAGCTTATAAAGTAATTAGAATACTTTTAGAAAGCTCTTAAATAGTATATTATACTATACTTTTATTCTTTTATTAATATAGAGATATAGATATTATAATAACTTTTAAACTTCTTTTTTTATAGTAAACTCTTTTAAAATAGATAAGTAAGATACTTAATATTAATTTTAGATAAAATAGCGTAAAAGAAGTACTTCTTATCTACTTAGTTATACTACCTTTAGCTACTATACTTTATATACTAGAGCTTATTCTTTATTAGTACTTAAAAAGCTATTAGAATATATTCTAATAGCCTTTTAAGTTAAATATCTTTCTTACTTATTTTTTCTATTATCTAAAAATAGAATTATAATCTTTTTTATATAATATATAAGCTATTTTTATCTAGAACTAGTTTTAGATAAAGATAAATATACTAAAGCTTATTAAAATACTTTCTAAAAGTAATCTAAAAGCTTTCTATAAATCTAGTTATAAATCTTTATACTTAAGTATAATTATTCTTCTTTAGAGTATTTTTAAAGTATCTTATCTTATTATATAGTACTAGTATTACTTTAAAGTAAGTATACTTCTTTTTAAGAAGCTCTTAAAAGTATAAATAGTACTTAATACTAGAGTATTAGTACTTTTAGTGTACTACGTAGTATCTAAGATAAAAGAAAAATATTAGATACTTTTTATACTTAGTATATTTTATATATTAAAACTAAAAAGTATTTAGATAGTACTTTAAAAGCTTTCTACTATAAAGCTTACTTATAATACTACTACTAAAGTACTTTTTATTATAGTAGTAGATTTTAAAAGCTATATAATATATATATACTTTTTTTTAGTTATTTTTAAGTATATTAGAATTACTATAATATACTACTTAGTAGTTATAGTAAAAGTAAAACTATTATTACTTTTTATAGTAAGTAAAATAAGTAATTTACTCTAGAAAGCCTTTAAAAAGTGTTTAGAGTACTTTTTCTTAGAATACTTACTATATTTTTTACTACGTTCTTATTTATAACTTTCTTATTAATATAAGTTTAGTAAAATATTAGCTTAATATTTTTAAATACTTTATTAGTTAGTAAAGTAAGTTATAAACTTAGGTTAAGTACTAAAAAAGAGAAGTAGTATTAGCTTATAGTTACTTAGCACTTTATAAAGCTCTTAGAAAGCTTTTATATTACTTTTATAGTATTTTTTTTTATTTTTTAATTCTATATAGTACTTTAAACTATATTAAGCTAGTATATAAAGAATAGTTAAGCTAATATAATATAAGACTTTATTTATAGTAGTGTATTTTTATTTTAGGTATATTCTAATAGCACTAACGCTAATTCTATAGTTAGGTAACATGCGAACACTAATATAGATCTCTCTGTCCCTGTCGTGCCAATCAAAGCCTTGTCCGCCGGAACCGCTTTCCCTGTTAGGCAACTACATCAAATCCATCGATCGCGGCAGAAAGGGCACTGTGGAGACCCAGCTCCCTGCCGGGCCAATCAAAGCCGCCAGACAGGGCCAGAGACGCTAATGCAGGGCTCTGGATCTGACTTTCGTCATGCCACTACCTCACTGCTTCGATGAGAGATTCGCGGTTATTACTCTTCGTCTATACTGTAGTTGTGCGAATATCTAATTCACTTTTGTCGCAGTTAAGCTCGTAGAATAGCCATTGCAATGCTTGCACCATCTCCCTATAGCCTTGCGACCCAACAACAAACATCCAATTCACCACTTGCCCACATCCTCCAACACCAGATCCGTCGCCCGCTCACTCAACAAAAACGTACTAACCGCCGGAAACGCACCCGGACATCTAGGAAACGCACTTGCATCCACAACCCGCAGCCCTTCAACCCCTCTGACCCTCAGCCTCGTGTCCAACACAGCCATAGGATCAGAATCTGGGCCGACCTTGTTCGTGCTTGTGGGATGGTGACCGAAGACCTGATCTTTGATCCACTCCCTATCAATCTGCACGTCACGGCAGTAGCCCGTCTCAAGGATATCAGCAGGCGGACAGGGTGGAGAAACAGGTGTTACAGGGCCGACCGGTGCTTCGGTGGAAGCAAACGCTCTACGGACGAAAGCGACCGTATCGAGCATAGCGTTTAGATCTGTTTCTGCGCCTTCGGCGAAGTAGTTCAGGTTCACTTCCGGTGTGTCTACCGGGTCGGCTGATCGGATCTGGACGTATCCGGCAGTGTTCTGTGGATGAATCTTGACAGTGGACCAAGAGAATGTTGTGGGAGGGTACCGTGTGGTGTTTTGAGACGTTGGTGGCGCAAAGCCTGTAAAGGAGCCCCCCGTGAAGCCGAACATTAGCTCGTCTCTTTCGCCTTCGACCGCATGAGCTGTCTTGAGGAGGAACGCGTTTGAGTTTGTGCCGCCGCGCGCGTAGGGTCCTTGGCCATTGTACCAAAGTTCAATACATGGATCGTCGGGTGATCCGTTTGTGCATTTTGGTGCATTGGGATCAGGTGTCTTTGCGAAGCTGATTTGGGCGTTCCCGTAAATGGGTACCTCGTAGTTGTCCTGGAGGTTGCGGCCCACACCCGGTAAGTCAGAGATTACAGGGATGTTGTACTTATCGAGAAGGGCTTTGGGCCCGATACCAGAGAGCTGTAGGATCTGCGGCGAGTTGAAGGCACCACCAGCTACGATGACTTCTTTTCGAGCGAAAGCTTGGTGCAGTGTACTGGTGGTGGAGGTGTTACGACGTGGGTCGGCCTTGTATACGGACTTGCCTTGCAAGTATTCAACCCCAATTGCTCGCGGCTTTGTGCCATTGCCACTGCATTCGTCGAATAGCACCTTTGTGGTCAAAGACTCAAGCTGGAGATGTAGCGGGTACTTCAGCGTTCCATTCGAATTCGTTAGGTTGCGCAATTCCAAGATACGGTCGCGTGGGCTGAAGCGCTTCCAGTCGGGCGTGACATGGAATGGCAGTGACGACAGACCCTCTGTCTGGTCACGCATTGGAGCGAGATAGTTCGCGTCGCTGGTGAGGTAGTCCAGTACCTTTTCTGGATCTTTTCCAGCTAATTTTAATCCAGCTTGGAAGACCTTGAAGCGGAGTGCTTCAGCTGCATGGGTAGCTCGATCAGCAATATTCGTCTGTAGCCAGCCTGTAAAGCCGTGACCAGGAGTACCGGGTTCGAGATAGTTGTTATGCTCGATTTTCTCAAAGTACTTCCGCATCAATTCGCCACTGCTTGGATGTTGGTACCATTTTGAGAGACGATATTTGTTGGCGGCTTACCTCCAAATGCCATCTTCAACGCCCTTGTCAAAGAAATCCCAATCGCTGTCGCTTGGCAGGAACGTTGCAGCCGCGTTGATGATCGCGCTCCCACCCAAAGTGGCCTACGTTGCAGCATATACGATCAGTAACTATTTCGCATGCACTTCGCAAGGGAAGGATGCCACTCACACCTCTAGGATAGAACACTCCCAGCCTCTCGGCGCCTACATGTCCCTCAATACCGGGGTCTTTTCCAACCCAATCTATCGCTGAAATTAGCAACGTACACAGGTCATCTATACCAATAATCACACTTACACTCCCCATTCTTTAGCTTCCAAACCAACAGGTTATACCTCTTCAATCTCTCCTCGTCATCACTATGCTTGACGAAGAAATGCCACGCTACATTCGTGTTGGAGAAGTCATTCAGAGCGAGCACTTGGGTGCGGATATCGAACGAAGCGTCTGATCCAGCCTCGATCAACAGAACGGAGTGTCCAGCAAGAGCGAGATTGGTGGCGATTGTACCGCCTCCTGGACCGCTACCGGTGACGATATAGTCGTACGTGTTTGAAGTGTTGGAGGAAGCCTGTGGCGGAATACAAGAAGCATGGTGAAGAGGGGATGCTGACGCGAGAACTGGGAGTAAGAAGAGCGGAATCGTCGGTAGTCTCATGATGGAGTACGTGTAGAAGTTACCAGTTCGTTTCCAGGATGTCGCCGTATTCTTGTCGGTACTTGTATACTCCCAGCTGCCTGGTCAGATCTGGCTTCCTTGCTTCGGTGTTGAGATGCAAGATCTAGCATTTCGATCAGCGAAAGTGGCCCTGAATCTTTAACCGGCATGTCATGCTGTGAAAAGCCGTCTTGGAAACCGGTGTTGTGTATCAATCGGTGCGAATGGACCCAATCACAATCTGCACTCTACGTCTAACTTCCGGTGCCATGACCCCGGCTGTACTCTGGTGCGGGGAGATGATCGGATTGAGTACCTGCATACGCCTTGTTACACAACAAGCCAATGACGACCAGCGTGGTTGATTAGTACACGCTCAGCTCCGAGCTGCCTATAGTAGAAAGAGTGTACGTATCTCGGCATTGAAGCTGATGGTGACCAAGCAGGGCGCGGTATGAATAAGCCTCTCACTACTGGACCCTTTGCTGAGCCCTGCATATTTAAGGTTTTGATAGCAAGTCGGGTTGTTGTTTCCGGTATGGGTCTTCGGGAAATGCCTTGGTGCACAGGAAGTCACTATCGAATGATCAACGCTGCTCCACTAAAGTCACGGAGTGCGGCAACTGCGCGGAAGTCAAAATCTGGGCATATGCCGATGCGAGGGAATGCTGGAAAACGAGGCCCAGAACGTATCCCTCGACCAATGGCATCGTATGATTCTTGTTCACATTACATGTCGTACTCTATCGCCAGTACTATCTTCCTCATATCAGACGGAAAGATGCCGCCGTGGGTGCTTCGTCAGAATCGTTATTAACGCGTCCAAACCCACTACTGGAAGCTCTTCAACAACTCCGACAGTTGCGCATAGGTATCATCTGGGTTCTTGACCTTGTGTCCGATAGTCCGCTCGTCGCTGTAGATTTCCCAGTCGTTTCCACCCTCGTAAGCCTTGTCGCCAAAGAAGTGAATCTTGTCGTAGACGACACCAGTCAGGCCCTTCTCCGCCTCAATGTGTCGCAGGCAGTAGGTCTTGTCCCAGCCAGTAGGGAATACGTCGAACGAGATTTGACCACCGATGGAGTATGTGAGGCCAGAGTCGGGGAATGCTTCCTTGAGCTTGGCGACCATGGTTTCCCTGACCTTGTGCTCGAGATCGTACTTTTGGTATTCGTTTCGCTCTTCGGTGGAGGCGTTACGGCCGATGGGGGAGACGTTGATCATGCCGTTGCGGAACTCGATGAAGGTACCGCGCTTGATGGGGATGTCGAGATCGGCGATGTAGTGAAGAATCCTAGAATCGTTGTTAATGATGCCCCAAAACCTGCTGTATACACGTACCACTTGGTTAACTGCTTGTACTTGTCCTCCCCAATCCACGCGATGAAGCTCTGGCTAGCCAGGACCTCCCCCATGCGGATGGCAGTGAGTCCGTTCTCGGCGAAGCAGAAGTCGAACAGCGAGGTGACGTCTACAGGGCCGCCGAGCTGTTCTTGTTGTTTGACGAGGTTCGAGCCGCCAACGAAACCGATGGCGCATTTGTGACGGACTTCGGAAAGGAGCTGCAGCATCTGTGGAGTGACGAGCTGCACCGGTGTTAGAGAAGCATCGCTGAGCATGCATCGAGCGTACACACTTGACGGGGTTTTGTGAGTGTGTCGTCGACATCGAACAGGAGGACCGTGTTCTTGACCGGGCGCTGGTCGAGCGGGGGATAGACAGCTGCGGCGGCGGCCATGGTGCGAGTCTTCTCGTGAGTCTTGAATTGACAAGTATGTGGACAGACAAAGCTCAATTGGGATGGTGGGAGATCGTCAGAATAGTCAGAGGTGTATATACGTCGGAGGGGTTCCTGCAGGGATGGCTGCTCCTCACCGCAGTTTCGCGGTTGGCACGCGTGGGGTTGGCCTAGTGCGTGCCTGGACCCTGATTTAGTTTGCACCGCACATGGTACCTGGTGAGTACGGCCATGGCTGCATCGTGACATGTGTCCACTGTTCATATGCTTGGACATCATTGGCGTGTTACATTGTATCGCAACATCATAGATGCGCAACACTGAGTATAGACGCGTGAGCTGAGCATAGACGCGTAAAGATGAGCCACGACTTGGTTGACAAAAGCGGAATGGCTTCCGCGCCCTGCTTTCCATGTGCAAACTGACAAGTCTGAATACGAAGAGAACACATAAACACACCGCAAATCCTCTAAACACGTATTCAACTTCGTCCCACGTTGCCAAAATGTCTAAGAATAGCTTATTCATTTCAGAATACTCTGTCAAATAGGTTACGGTCGATGTGTTCATGTCACACGCCAACTTCCTCGGCCAGCCCCCTCCATCGTCCCTTTCGCATCCCTGAAGGTAGCGCTAGTAACACACTTCGAAGAGAGTCTTCCTCGTATTCAAGCCTCTCCAGTGTGACTGCCTGTAAGATATAATTCGCAATCGTGTTATTCGAGAGCGGCGGATCTCGCAAGAGTGCTGCCATTTTCTCGACTGAGAGCTTCTGGTAGTGCCACATATGATATGCGCGAAGGTGTGTCACAGTTGCCCGTATACGTGAGGGTGTTATTGAAGTAGGCGATGGAATAGTAACTTGAAGATGTTCCTGTGCCCACGTCGTCGCCAAGTTGTACTCAGGTGTTCGTGATGACTCATTGAGTAGGCCGATGTTTGATTGCGGAGCTGGTGTTGGCACGGCGGAATCGACAACATCGAGGGAATCATGCTTGAGACCTGATGGCTCACCCACTTTGGCAGTATTAGAAGCTTGAGCGGTTGCTAGATGGGTAGGAAGTACTGACTGCGTTCCCAGATCGTCTTGGTTTATGGTAGGTGTTGGCCTAGTATGCTCTGATGCTGCGTCGTTCCCGTCTTGGATAAGCTTCCCACTTTCGTCCAAAGACATGCGTCTAAGCGCATCCTCAAGCTCTGGGTCTGGGTATTCATCATCGCTATCATTCTGCTCCCCGCCTGGAATACCATGGCCTTGCTTCTCCGTCTGCATGGCAACCTCATCTTTGGAGGATCCGGTAGACTGTGGGCCCACGTCCTCTTCCTGCGATGTCTTGGGCAGCTCAGGGTATCCGGGGTCGGTGTTTTGGAGCCAGGAAAGGCTCACACGGCCAATTCGCTTTTGTGAAGAAACTCCACTTTCTTCAACACTGTTCAAATCGGGCTTCACCGCAGCGTCAGCCGCAGAGGCCTTGTTCGAGTCATCCACTGGCGCAGCTTTTCTTGTTTCATTTGGTGCGTCTTCGAGCTCATGACTGTCGGTAAATTCCTCCGTCGCGGTCTCGTACCCTTCCGCGTCTTCCTCATCTTCTTGTTGCTCTTCTGTCACGTCAATTGACGGCTTCGCAACTACGTCCGCTGCATCGTCGGACTTGGTAGCTGCCTTTATCCTTTTGCGGGGCACCTTTGGCCTGGGAGTAGGCTTGTTGTCGAAGTCGCAAAGGGCCACTGGAGGAGGGGCTGGCTTCATCCGTGTCCTCTTCCATTCAAGCATGTGATAAAGACGAAAGCCAGCATATGCATCGGCAGCCGCGTAGTGTATCTGTTGCAAATCTAAGGACAGACTCCAGTCACTTTCTCGGACGCTGGAGGTTGTATCCGGATCGTCGACTAGTCGCTCTCCTTTGTACAAAGGCAGTTGGAGGTGCTGTAGCACCTGAGAAGCGAGTTTTACAAGTCTGTTTGATACTTTGCTAGGCTCCACCTCGTACCATTCGACTAGATTGTGCAAGCGACTTAGCTCGAAGACACCTTGAGATTGAATGTTGAGGTACTTTTCCAGGCGCTTGAAGTCTCCTTTGATAGCCACACCTACCTTGTATATATTGGGTGATTCTAGAACAGCCCTCAGACTGGGTGGCATCAGCTGCTCGACTGTCTTCCCAGAGAACAGCGACACATGAAAGAGTGCGATGCGATCTTCGCACGCGAGCTGGATCAACGACGCATTTTGCTTGATGGAATATGGGTTTCCACGAGGCTTCCACTCAATGTCGAAGCCCACCACTTTTTCTTGTAAGAAGTATTTGGCCACTCTTTCAGCAACGTCAAAAGACTTGCAATAATGGGTCGAGATCGCTTCGCCCTCGGGCCCTTGGTAAAGCTTCGCACTCCAATAACTATCACGAGTTTGGGGAGTGGCAAGCATTGCAGCGCGCAGCTTTTCCTCTGGGATCTGATAGGTAAGAGAGACGTGTTCATCTACGTCTTCGTCGTCCTTGGCTTCCAACTCTCCTTCGGACGAGAGGTCGCTAGATTCTGCATTATCCGAGACATGTCCCGTACTAGCTTCTCCGTCCTGTCCGACAGCATCGCCTGCTTCGTTATGGGTGTGCGGGGAGGGGTCATCGGTACGGGCTGCCGCAGCCACTTCGTCTTGAGGTGAGGAACCGGTCTCTGTAGCTTCAGGGACATCCGGCTTGAGCGCCTCCGCTGTCGCTGTTGTCGCAAAGCGTAGTCCGTGAGCTGGATTCCATAGTCCCACCCGCTGGAATCGGTCAGCACCCAGTGTTGGAGCCGATTCGGCCAGTCGTACGTGTAACGCAGCCGAGGCCTGACGTATTTGGCGATGGTCCCGGGCCATGGAGGCTGAGTCTATAGAAGTAGGCTGAGTAGCAGGAGGTTGTATCGCAGGGACGGGAGTCTTGTGGATTCGTCTAGGAAAGTTGTCGCTTCGAGGAACGGGCCGTCCCCGCTTCCATCGGCAGGTCGAGGAGGATGAGGTGGTAGGTGTCGAGCGTAATGGGGTAGTGTGCATCGCTCTGAGTACATGAGAATACTGTGTATGGCGCTCTACGGAGAAGAAGGCGTGGGCAGACGGCTCATGGCAAACGCGCCGCGGGGCATCTGACGCGCTCAGCAGAGAGGCGCGTCGACGGAGGAGCATAACACTCCATGGTAGTGCACCCAATAGGCACCGGCAGGAGGAGATGGTCGCCACGGGTGCGAGTCGATTGTGTGGACGAGGACGCTTGCTGCCTGT